ATTCACTAATGAGCACCCACATACTTGTATTAGTGTCAACTACACAAATGGTTTGAGACTAACCATCCTCCCGATTGAGCATACATAATATGTGCTAATCTTGACGGTTTATCAATGTCCATTTGATAACCTATGATTAGGAACATTTTGGGATACTACAGTTAGAGATTAAAGGTCTCATGAATCTAATCTTCTTTAGATTACTTTATCTCTTATTTAGCATACCCTGGACATTTGTTTCTTTACACGATGTAAAAGATAACAAAATAAGTTTGCCCTTTATATATCATATACGAAATGTATTCTAAGGAGATTACATCAAATGTATTGGCTCTTAGGGCACATTTCTAACAGATGCTGGAAAGGAGGAAGTTGGTGCTGGAAAGAGGGAAGCTGGTGCTGGTATCGTATCTTCTACATCAAGATCGGTGAAATCCTCACCACCATCTCCTCCGGCTTCCTCGTTAACCCTAGCCTCAGCAGTACCATTGTCATTGATCTCATTATTTATGCAACCAGCTGACCCATTATTACCACTATCCCCATGTCCTTCTGCACAATCATTATCTTCAGATATACTTGAGAGTTTGCCTTTCTGGATATTTCGGCAACTTGCAAGACCTTCTTCTTGTGGCTCCGAGACAACTCCTGAAAAAGGTAAATACATCAGTTAAAGCAGGGAATAATCATGCAGCAAAAGTACATTTGCGGCGCTTACTTTGATTTTTGGTTGATTTGCTGTTATGAATGCGAGCATTAGAAGTTGTCACAGAAGATTTCGCACACTGGGCATGCTTAGGGATTGGTGCAGCAAGTTCTTTTTTGGCCTTAGGAGAGCCAATCGCGACCACTTTGGGCATAAACTTCTTTGGTTTCTTGGAAGCGCCCCTCTCCTGATTAGCTTCTTGCTTTCTTTTTTCACGAACACCACTCTTTCCTCTGTCACAAGATACGTGTTGATATGTCTTTCTCCCTGATCTAGGGAACTTCCCAACAATCTTACCACTCCTTGAAGTAAATGTCAAGTTTCGTTTCTCACTCAGGTAAATAGCTTTGTCCTCTGGCACCAACCTTGGATGACGATCAATAGAAGGGAGCAATCTTGCGCAACTATTTGTGTGAAATCGGTTGAAAGAGGCGAAACAACGGTTCCAGTAGACCCTGTAGCTTTTTGAGAAGCTACCGGCTCTTCCTTTATCAGCCAGTGCAAAAGCAAATTCCCTACCGTGGTCTGCAGCACCATTCCAATAAAACTTGTGCATTGAAGATGGTTTGTGGTAACCAGGCCCCAATGGAACACCTTGATCAAGCCCATGTTGGAGTTTAACTCGGTGTGGTGAATAATAGACAGAAGTTTCACTATGGTTATCTCCAAAAGTAGGCAGTGGAAGACTCGCCACATTCAGGATGGCATTTCTTTTCAGCTGCACACCACTTGCCATTACCATGGGGACCTTCGCTACCCCATCCAAATCTCCATAAAAGGAAACATGCTCAAACCCTTTAGGCACCATGGTGTAAGGGCGAAAAATGAAGTTCTCAATGTTATCCAATAACTCAAGAAAATCTTGACCTTTACGGTGTCTCCTTTTGAGCCACCGAGAGGTTAAGGGAAGCATTTTTGGCATGTACGAATCCCCACTGGTTTCGACAAGTACCTTAGCTTGTGGGAAAGAAAGAGGAGATACGTTCAAACCTTTGATGCGCTCCCAGAGAAATACTTGCAGAAAACTTGAATTGAGAAGAGTTTCCAACGCCATGCTCCCAGCTACCCCTTTTTCAAGAAAATGTACTTGGTCCAGTAAACGATACAAGTGTCCCAAGAACATGGGGGCTAAGGGGATCACATCACCTCTTGCAATTGACAAAGCCATGGGAAACACCCTGTCATGAATGAGATCTTGGTGGAAGTCACAAAACACGAACTTTCCCAACCACATAGATAGCAGTGCCGGCAGTCTGCAAGGGTTTCCTTTGTCTTGATTCCCAAAATGTCTCACCCAACTACTAAATCGAAGGGACTGACTGCTGGAAATAAGAGCACCCTTCCGAAGAGTATAAAGTCTTTCTTTGTCCTCAGCATCCAGCGGAATATTGAATGGATCTTGATTACCACTAACTGGAAGATGAAGGAGGTTCGCCACGTCTTCAAGAGTAGGAGTGAACTCTCCCCATGAACACATAAAAGTATGGGTGTCAGTACTCCATCTACGAACCACATGGCGAAGTAGCTCCACTTCTAAACGAATCTCATATTTTCTAGATAAGAAGATGGCATCCAACACTTCGGTCCTCCGCAAAATATCTTGAGAAACTGGGTTTGCCAACTCGGACTCAACCCATTCAGACCAGCCCTTAGTAATGCCACAAGGATACTGGAAGAAAAGAGGAACCACTGGGAACAAGCCTTTTTCTATACAGCACCTAGAAATGGTTGCGGGATCTATAGTAGGAATTGTCTCTGGTGTTGGTTCTCCCCCGATAAGCGTACAAATATTCTTGATTGACGGAGGAGGCCGTCCTTTCTTCAAACCATCATTCAGGGAAAATAAGTGATCCTTCACAGTCGAACCAGGAAGGATTGGCAAAGCTTTAGATGCCATAAAATTTTGAGTTCCTACAAGCAAAAAGAAAAAGAAGAAATGTATAAACGTAGGAGAATGAATGAGACCGACAGGCTCAATGCTAAAACATGCCAAGCAAAAACTTATAGACAAGCTTTCCAACCATGTCAGCTGGACATCCCATCTTTGGAAAATCGCCAAAATTCAAGTTTTCAGCCAATAAAAGTCAAACTTTCCTGACTTGAATTAGACATGTCAAGCTTTATCCTCCCAAAATTTCGCTGCATTTGGAGCGACGGAAGTATGTCAAACAGATTCCCAAACACAGCCTGTGAAACAGAAATTACACGGCAGCTTATCCCCTACTTTAAAATCTCAGCAAGTATTTCATTTTTTCAAATGACACAAAACTAGTTCCGTCACGCCCGTTAAGGAGTCTACTTTCATTTATCAAAAACTCAAGCTTCAAGCATAGAAAGCAAGCATGCAACAAAGGATGCCAAATCACGGAGGTTTGCAGAGCAAGTAGGGAATTGTATACCTCCAGCAGAGTTCGTTAATGAACTTCATCAATCGATTGGTGGAGATGGAGAGGGCATCTCTAGTTGAACTTGGTTTCATTATTGAGTAGCAGCTAGCTCTGGAAGAAGCAACCATAAAAGACAAAGATCATCTTTCATAGGAAAAGGCAGAAGAGTTGGCATCTCAAGAAGAAGCCTTTGGGGCACAGCTGGACCAACTCCGTCAAACTAGGAACCAAAGGAATTTGCGCACTTCCTCTCTCGTAAAGGGAGAAACTTGTATAAAGGAGACCCTGACTACTTCTGCCCACCATTTTCAGTTTCTAGTTGGCATCAAAGAGAGAGCTGCATGTCTCAAAAGGCAAAGTGCTACTGTCAATGCTTAGTGATTTGGAATCAATTGATGAACATACTGTAAAAAAATGAAGCCACAGGACATTACAATGGGCCACAGGACATTACAATGGTCGGATGATTCTGGATTTTTGATATGATTTAGACAACATAATTTCAAGCAACTTTCATAAAGAGATCGAAATCATCCAAGCAGAAAGTACTGAAGACAAGTGTGGAAAACCGAACAGGCAGATGCTCACCAGCCATGAGTGAACACAGACATCACGGAGCAGGTTCAGACATCCAGCAAAATTCAAAAAATTCTGAAATTTTTACAGCATATAGTAACCGAGCAGGTGATCAACTTCGATGAAGAAAGTTTTACGATCTGAGTGTCCGAAATATCACTTCCGTGCTGACGAACAATACCCTGAAGTAGCGGCTTAAAAAAAAAAAAAAAATGTTGCAGCAGTAAGTAAATCACAGCAGCAGGGGATCAAGAAAGGCGTCTCTTCAAATTAGCGAAAAGAAGAGGGAACATAAGTTATTACCTCATGTTATGAGTCTCTCAATTGACTAGACAATCAAGAAAGGAGGTTCTCCCTATTAAAGCAAGCTGCAAGCAACAAACAAAAAATAAATAAATAATTCATGCACGAAGGGAGATTGAAACTTGCGGCTTCTCAATCAAAGGAAAGAAGGAGAATCATTTACCAGGACTGCTGGACTAGCAAGGCATCAAAAGAAAAGAAGAGGAAAGTGGTCAAAGGGGAAGTGTCTGAAGGAGGAAGAGACGAAAAGAGAAAGGAAGAGGAAAGAAGAAAAGAAAAAGAAGGAAAGAAGGGGTGGTCTTATGCGGAAGGTGGCAGGTGAATGTGGTTTTCACAATATAAATAAATAAATAAAGGAAACAAGCCCATTTTCCATGTCTTATTATTCAGCCCAGGAAAGTGTTGCTGGCAGTTCGAGTTTGGGCCAGATTTGATTATTTGGCCTATTTTAGTGACCCTTCATAGCCCCAATAATCAAGGGTGCTAATGTAGAGGCCCAAAAAATTAAGGAAAGCCCAATCTCACCTCAAGCCCAATGCTTTGACTTACTGTAGAGAAGTCTATCTAAAACAAACATGCCATGTTGGAAGATATTACAATTTGGCACGTGAGAGGTCACAGTAGACATATGAAATTCACCATTTTACTCAAGCCCATTTAATTCATTAAGCATTTTAAACAGGCCAAAGCCACATTCGTGCACAAGCATACAACTGACACACAAAAGACAAGCAACTCTCTCTCACTGTCGAATTACCCGACAAAGCTTAAGTGGGCCCAAGCCACATTCGTGCCCGGGGCTTGCTGAGCGGGTTGTGGTGTGGATGGTTACAAGGATCCATGAGGCCCATTAAAGGTTCAAAATTATGCAGATTTTGGGCTGCTTGGGAGCCCAAAATCCTGGCCCATTTTCTTGAACCCACTAAATGGGCAAGCAGAGAGATGAATCTGTCACTTCACCAGCACCCAACACCTACTCATATACACAGCACCTCTCTCATACGACACTGAACCAACCATACGGCGCCAAAACCATATCTTTTCTCCCAAAAAAACCAACCACCCGGCACTGCATAGAAGAAAGGAGCCTCGTCATCTCAACTAGGAGACAAGAGTGCATAGCCGAGGAGCATGTGCGACCATCTTGGTACCGGAACAGCATGCGCGCATAGAGAGATGCATTCCAAGGTCTATAAAAGGGAGAACATACCAACCAGTCAGGGCAACAATCTCACGGCTGGAAAGAAGAAAAGTTACAAACAAGCCATAATCTGACTGCCGGAAACACTAGAGCTTATCCCAGAAGCCATCCCCCTCCCTTTTTCAGAAACTTCGTCCTTTTCCCCCCAAAAGCCATTCTCTCATTCTTCCAGAAACCATCACCTACCTTCTTTGTTTTTCATAAACCAAAAAGCCATTCCAAGCTGTAAGAGAGCCTTAAGCCAAAACCCCATTTCAACCCAGGCAGACTCTCTCGCTAAACTCATAGAGACTTAGCTCCCACGCCACAAGCCACTCAAGCCAAGCCAAAATCTCAATTCACAACGATCATTATCAATTTGGTGAGAAGAAACCAGAGCATCCCTTAAGTACTTTCTTTCGGAGTGTTTTGGGGTCTGATTCTTGAACTCAGAAAGGGGGTACTTTCTCTCTGTAGCGGTCCAAGCCCACAAATAACTGCAAGAACAAAATAAGCCCCCACATAAATTGGCGACTTCACTGGGGAATCAGTCCAATACTCTCACCAATGCCTCCAAAGAAGAAGACCAGGAGCAACAACGTGGCTTCCCAAGACGGGACAGACCATGGTGACTCATCATCAAGACAGAATGGCACCCATGAAGAAGAAATACGAGCAAGTGAAGGAGACTTCACGCTTTCAGACCTCATTGCAGCCGTCCATGCAATGGGACAATCCCAGAGAGAAATGGCAGATACGATCAGGGAGCTGAAAGACCATGTCTCAAAACAGAATGGCAAAGATGAAGAACGACCAGAAAAAACACCACCACATGAAGAGTCAGCTGCCGCCGGAAAAAGTCCTGAGCAGAAAGGGCCATCTTTTGTTACCCAGGAAGATGTTATTGCTATGCTGGAAAAAGAATTGAACCGTAGCCAAGAAGATTGGAAATATGTTCCTCAACCACCGTATCCAGCAAGCTTGCTTCAGCAGCCTTATCCTAAAGGCTATGAAACCCCAAGCTTTGTTCTTTTCGATGGAAGAAAAGGAAGCCCAAAGGAACACGTAAGTCGTTTCATTGACGCTTTGGGGCCACATGCAGGAGATCACAATATGCGGCTCCGAGAATTTTCAAAAAGTCTCACTGACCGTGCATACACTTGGTATACCACACTGGCACCAGGCTCCATCCGGTCGTGGGACGACATGGCAAGTAAATTTTGCAAGAAGTATTTCCAACATGAAGAAAGAGTTACCACAACTCAGCTCAACAACACCCGCCAAAAGCACGGGGAAAATCCTGTAGACTTTGTGCGCCGATTCCGAGACTTAGCTCTTGATTGTTATGATGAGAAGGACGAGGAGTCGCTTGTTGAAATTTGCATTAGCAACATTGTGGCAGAATATAGAGTGTATCTTGAGAACATTGGCATTAACCAGTTCTCCAGGCTTTTAGAGGCAGTAAGAAAAACAAGCATGTCTGTCAAACCAGCTCCTGGACAAAGGACCTGGAGAAACGAGAAGAAGGAAGCTCAACAAACTTTGGTCGTAGAAGACAAATTGTCAAACGACTCTAACCCACGCAAACGAAGGGATAGAGAAACGTATCCGCCACTGCCGTGCAAAGATGAAGAATTTCATGCTATTTTAGATACCATGTTTGCAGATGGTGCCATCAAACTACCAAGACCTTACAGGGTACCTACTAGAGAAGAGAAAAATGACCCAAGGTACTGCCGCTATCACCAATTTGTAGGTCATCCGACCACTGCTTGCCAGACTCTAAGAAAAATCTTGCATGCCAAGATACATGACGGAACTCTGGAACTACCGGCCAAGAATCAAGCTATTGATGAGGACCCTTTACCGAAGCGCAGAGGGAAGGAGGTAGTTGCTGTAATCACATGCTTTGATGATCTGATGGATGATGATGAACTATGCCACCCCTGGAGAAATGATCCCAAGCCGCCGGAAGCTATCTGGGAGCTATGCGGGAATATGGACAAAGCTTACTGGCGCAAATACTCGAAATCCTTGAGCTACGATACTCCATGGCCGTTTGCTGACGAATGGGAAACCAAATCAAGCTCTGAGGTTTTCTCTCTAAGCATACAGGAAGACTCGGGGGCTTCTTCAAGTCAGAACAAACATCAAGAAACTGCCGCCGTAACATTCCATGATCTTACAGAGGCTGAAGCAAAAATAATGGAGCGATACCTGGCTGTAAAGCAAGGGCCTATTGCCTCACAAGTTCTGCAAAGAAATCCAAAATTCAAGTCACTTTTCGACCAACTGGGTTATGGACCACATGCGAGGGAAGCAGCTGCTATAGCTCTAATGAATATCTCTGAGGAGTATGGCTCTCATTGCTTCACCACCCAGGGAGCATTCTTGGAAAATAACAATGCCATCGTCTTTACTGATGAAGACATGGAGGTCCCATATCCAGATCATAGGAGGCCACTCTACTTGGAAGGCCAAATCAACGATGTGTTCATAAGAAGGGCTTTGGTAGACACCGGTTCTTCTGTCAACATCATGCCTCTTGCGGTGCTTACGGCGGCTAAAATTCCTTTGTCAAAGGTTGTGAAATCTCAGACAAGCATCACCGGCTTCGGAAACAAAAGCGAAGTTACAATCGGATATATACAAGTGGATTTGAAGGTGGGGCCCATTCGATCCTTGACCAAATTTCATGTGTTGGATATAGACGTCGCTTACCACGCTTTACTCGGGAGGCCGTGGCTCAATAAACACAAGCTTGTAGTTTCCACCTATCATCAATGTGTAAAAGGAAGGATTGGGTTGAGACCAATCCGCATACCAGGAAATCAAGCACCATTTAATCAGAATGAAGCCCATTATTCAGAAGCAGAATTTTACACAGAATGCGGAGACACCGGAAGCAACCCGTCCAAAGCCTTCGGAACATATCTACCTTCATGGGCTGAGATACGTGACCTTAGCAATACAGAGCTCATGATGATTATTGAACAAGAGAGAAAAAGGCACACTGAAGTCAACAATCACGCTTATAGAAGTGTAAGATAACCCTATGCAACGAAGCAACACATCGGTGAGTACCTTTCCATTAAAGTATTTCTAGTGGATATCACCATGGCTAGGAGGGAAACACAAATTCAATGTTTCGGCTCACCTTTCAATAACAATTATACATTTTTTTTTTTGGTCTGAAGATGGAATTTCATAAAAGAAGGCAAACAGCCAAGAGAAGTACAAAGCCCATAAATCAGCCATGCACAGCGTACAACAAGACATAATAAAAACGCAGCTACAGAGAAGGAGGACAACTACAGAGACGTAGTCATAAGAGAAACAGATACGTCGAGAAGCCCACACAGCCGCAACCATTAAGCACTCCTTGGGGGGCATGGTAAACCATCCTTGTTTAGGATATGCATAAGGGAGGATGGGGGTCGGTTGACCCATACTTCAGGGCTCATCCTCGAATTGGCAAGCATTGCCAAATGATCTGCCGCCTGGTTAGCGGTTCTAGGAATCCACGTCCAAACGTAGGTCTGGAAGCAGTTCAAAACATCCCGAACAATACTTAGGATAGGATAGATTTCCCACTTTCCTTTGGATAAGGAGCCCTTCAAAGGAGAGATGACTTCCTTGCAATCAGATTCAAAAGTGACATGACGATAACCCATCTCAGCAGCGAGTTTGCAACCTTCAAGGCAAGCCAGTGCCTCAGCCTCTATAGCAGAGTTCGCCACTGATGGGATGGATGTACCTTTGATAAAATCTCCATGGGTGTTCCTAATCAGGATTCCAATGCCAACCCTCTTTGAGTTTGGATTCCAAGATGCATCCACATTAACCTTGACAAAAGGAGAGGC